GTTTGTATGTCTCTGGGTACTGTTGACGAAAAAACCCGTAAACGAGCAATAATAATAGAAAACAGTTTTCTTGGAGGCAAACCGCGGACTAGCCTGGAAGCCCGCTTTCCAGGTGACTCTGAGAAACCATTCCGGAGAAGTGTGGTTTCCAGCACAGTTTTAGGTCTTGTCAGGACAAAGAACATTAGACAAGTCAGGGTTACATTCCTTCAAGGTTCCAAAAAAACCAGACAGACCTGCACATACCCAGCGAGTCAGCGTGGCCCTGGAACCTGGGACGGGGGTCTTACCATCAAAGGAGGACCAGCACTGGTGCCCCGGAAAGAGGGCACTGAACCTTTGTTTTTAACATGGACATTCTTTACTGCTGGTCAATGTGCCCTTTTCTTTAATAATTGAAGCAGATGGATAATGTATGTTTGATAGGCCACAAACAGGCTGTTTTTAGTTAGCATGAAATTCAAGTTAACGCACGTATAAGCCAGAATGACTTCCCTACATCTCAATATGTGAATATTTCTTTTGTCAGTATTTAAAATGAAATTAGGACGATGCTGTCTGCACTACTGGGGTCTGGCCACCTGCTTCTGCGGGTGCCCAGACACCCGTCGGACGTGTCGTGGCTTCACCGCAGCCCCGCCATCCACACCAGACACCTCCATGCACAGGGGCTGAGTGTGGAGCCTGGAGCCAATTAGCTGATGTCACAGGCGCTTCCCCAGCCAGACCCTCTGCTTCTCCCCAGACCTGCAGGTGGTGGCAGGAGCACCAGGGCCTCCTGTCAGCAGCAACCTGAAGTGAGCACCTGGCCGGCCCTCCCCCTCCTCACAACACACCCCAGGACCCGCCCTCCCTTTCGGTGACCATTTTCAAACAGTGCCTGGGGAAGGTCTTTCCCAGCCCCTGCCCCTCATCCCTGAGGGATGAGACAGCTGAGGCGGTTCCTCTTGTTAGAACTGCTAGTTCCGGGATGGAAACTCCCTCCTGTTCCCGCGGGAAGAGCCTTCCTCCACGATCAGAGGGAGCCGGTCCCAGGGCCCCAGCCTGCCCTCTGTGTGGCTTGGGGTTAGCGTCTTCCCAGGGCAGTGTCCCGATTCTCGGGTAGTTCTGGGAATGGAGGTCAACAGTTAAGGGAGAGGACAGGGTGCAGGGGTGGCAGCTCCCCCACTGCCATCTCTGGGGGCACTTGGGGTGACGCCAGGGAGCAGGGATGCTGGTCATGGGGGCCTCGCTTCTGCTCAGTGTGACTCAGAAGGAAACCTGCTGTGAGGGCTGTGACTTCGGATTGTTTTGTGAACCTCCGCCCTGTTCCATCCCGGGGCTGCGGGTCCCAGGACTTCCTGGGGGCTGGGGCACCAGCCTTGCCCCTCCTGGTGCTGGCCCCCGTGCAGCCCCCCACAAATGTTTGCTGTTGGTGGGGAGGGTACAGCTCAAGCGGCAGAGGGCTTGCTTGGCATGCTGATGGAGGCAGCGCGCTGGGCCGCCCGCCCTGCCTGCCAGAGCTGCTTCCTGCCCCAGCTCCATCCCTGGTGCCGCCCGAGGAAGGTGACATCGAGATGCACCGGCCGGGCCTGTCCCCAGAGAGGAGAGGAGAGTGTCCAAACAGCTGTGGCCCGGCCTGCGCCCAGGACTGGGCAGCACGGAACCAGCAGGGACCCTGTGGAGCTGTGGGCTCAGCCCGTCGTGGGGGATCCATCCGGGACTCCTGGAGCCCCCCTCGTTCCCAACTCACGGGCACTGGCAGAGCCGGGCTTCTTCACATTCTCTGAAGGGCAACAAAGCACCCCAAATTTAATAAGAAATGCGAAGCACTTCTATAAATAAAATTCTATCATATTCTAAAGAAAGTGAAAGAGCATTCAGATAATGGAAAAGCATTATCTAGGTCCCGGTTAGGAAGGGCTAATACTAAAAACATGATTCTTTCTAAAATGAAGTTATAAAGACAATAAAAACCCAAGAGCTTTGAAGGGTGGGGCAGCTCAGGACAAAATACCCAGATGCTAGGGGGACGCAGCCATTTCAGAAGAACAACACACTGCCTATGATTCCATCAGACTCCAGCCCACCCTCCTGGGGTCGCTGTCAAAAGTTGGCAAGTACACGAAGGGTCTGCGCCTCCCGCTGAGCACATCGGTGGGAGGGACTCCAGAGACAGCGGACATCTCCAGGACCCCGAGGTATTTGCAACAGTTGACATGCGTGTCTGTGTGCGTGTGTGACAACTGAGGCTCGAAATGGCATCCTGTCAAAGTGAGGGAACCCAGAGAATGAAGTGACAAGTTGGCAACAAAAAAACAAACATGCCAGCACTTCGGGAATATGACAAATATGCTGCTGAGTACTTTTTTCATTAGACAGGAAATCGTAACTTAAATCTACAAATTCCTGGAACTGAAAGAAAATGAAACTCCATCTCTCACGTGAAGCGGCGGGAGCCGAGGTTTGAGGAAAGAAGTCCTGAGAGAGACGGGCAGGCAGCATGGGAGCCCAGGGCCCCCGAGGACCGGGTCCCTGGAGAGCTTCAAACAGGAAGGCTGCCCGTGTTGGACAGGCTCACGTGTCTGTACGCACACAGAGAACTGGGACGTCGTATGAGGTCGTGCCCACGAGCGCCACCTCTGTGAGGTGGACAAGGCCCCAAGGAGACACGGCACAGCTCACTTTATCCTGTCTTCCTACGGTGTTTCAGTGGTTTGCTTTCAACATAAACAAACTGGTTTCACTTTCAAAAACACGAATGCTTTACCAGGGTACCTGCTGTCCTCAGATCCCCGCGGGATCCCATTTCCCATTTCACGGAGTGGAGACTCTGAGCCCTCAGCTGACGTTCAAGGCCCCTCAGGGTGCGGGACACTCCTCCCCTCCTGCCTGATCTGCCCCCACCCCAGGACACCCTCCCACCACTCGAGAGACCCTCAGTGGGGGTGAGGCTGGATGGAGGGAACAGAAAGGCTGACCTGGGAGGTGGCCTCAGAAAGCCACCCCTCATTCTAGCCCGGGGGGTATGGGGTACAGGGGGTGGGCACCGGGCACATGGGTGTGGCATTTCAGTCCCCAGGCCAGGTCCTTTGTGAGCCCTGTCTCTAGTGTCGCATGGCCCTCTGGGTGGGCCCGGGGACCCTGGCCTCTGTGCCCCTCTGTGGGGGGCTGGAATTGCACATTGGCCTTGGTGCCATCTTCCCACAAGGACGACCAGCATTGAGTTCATCTGTGCAGCAGGCAAAGGTTGCTCGTATAACACGTCCAGTAGGACTTTGTCCTGTTCTGCCCGGGTCCAGACGCCAGGCTGTTGGTTGACTTTCAGGCCTGGAGTTCAGCTGGAGAGGTGGCCCTTCTCTCCCTTTGACCACCTCGTAGGTTCTAAACACTCTACTTGGGGGTAACTGGAACATTCTGTCCTGTCCAGTCTAGGCCCCTCCTCTGCACCCCCAAAATTCAAGGGCTCCCTGACCTCAGCTCTGCATCTTCCTCCTTCTTCATGAAAATGGGGCATCACCACCCCAGCACCGCTCACTGCCTGTCGGCAAGGAAGGTCCCACAGCCTGTGGGACCTTCCCCCGGGGGCCCAGAAACACCTCTTTGTCCCTTGCCCTACTCTGCACACTGCCAGTGTGTCACCCTGGGTTTGAGTGGAAGGGAATGGCCCACATGCCACCCGGCTGGCACTGCAGGGCTCCAGGCCTCATCACCCCACATCCAAACCACCACCATCTGTGGGCTCTCCCTCCTCCATGCACCTCCGAGCATTCCCCACGCCACCACTGACACCCCCAGAACCACTGCCAGGACCTCCCAACTCGCTGCCCCCAACCCCCAACCCTTGCCTTCCAGTGGGCTTTGGAAGAGCAGGTCTGATGCTGGACAACCCTGCCCAGGGCCCTCCCAGGTCACTCTGGATGGAGACAAACCCCTTCTCCTGCCCCCCCTTCCCCGTCGCAGCATCGCCACTGGGTCTCCCTCTCTGAGCCTCTCTGCTCCCCCAGGGAAAGCCAGGCCAGGCCCTGCATACGCCCCAGGTGGAAGCTCACGGGACACAGACTGCACCTGGGCCCTCTGCCAAGAGGTAGACGAAGGCTGGAGGCTTGTGTGTAAGCGGGTTCGTCAGTGGGGAGTGGCAACAAGTGAAAGAAGGACCAGCAGCTGCCTCCTGGGCTGAAGTGAAGCTGGACCCGGCTGGCGAGCCCCGCAGAGCTGGTGAGCCTGGACACGGAGCAAGGACCCAGGAGTCAAGGCCACAACAGCCACTCCCAGCCAGCAGCCTGAAAAACGGAGACCAGAGCCCGAGAAAGAATGAGTCAAACACCTCTGCCCTTCCACGCCCAAGAAACACTCGTGTCCTCCCCCCACTTCCCACTCTTGGACACTGAAAGAGAAACCTACGTCTCAGTGACTTTCATGATAGCACCCAAGGCATCCCTGAGTGAGAAACGTGCGCGCCCCGTGATGAACTCCCCGCCGCCGCGCGTCTGCGAGGTCGGCACCTGTCAGCCCCCCTGCACCCTCACACCTCACACAGGTGTGCCCTCAGGACACTGAGTTAGTTCCTCCACGTGTGTCTCCAAGCCCACCCGCAGGACCCCCCTGTGGGGAGGGGGCTGGCAGGAGGGGCTCCTTCCTCTCAACGGCAAGTAGAGGGGCGGTTAACCTCCCTCTTCCCCACCGGCTCCTGCTGCTTACTGCCGGATTCCTGCCTGAGCCCCCAGCCATGTCCAGGTGGACTCGGCTTGCGTTTCCTACGACTCAGCCTTGGACCCTGACGATTCCCAACGGGCAAGGCTCTGGCCTGGGTGTGCCCACGGGAGGGGACTCGCCGTGGTCCCCTGACACACGCAGGGAAGCGAGCCCACCCAGCTCCCCAGAGACGCGCCAGCTCTGAGGGAGTTGAGCGTAGAGATCTCCAGGCATTGGCGCCTCCTACTTTCCGCAGACCCTTCGTCTAATGCAGCGCTTCTGATGAAAACATAATAAGGAATTTACTACCAAGAAAGTCGTAAACGTTTTCTGTGAACTTGGGGCAGGCAGTTCTTGAAACTCGAGTGACTTCTTATAACTTGGGGTTTTCTTCCTGAGTCTGGGACCTGGGTGCTGCACCTCGCGTGCGCGGATCCGGGATCCTCCTTCCCGCCGCGCCTCCTCCCCTGGCTCCGCCCTGGGATCCTTAAGTTTTCCTCCGTCTCCAGCGCAGGGAGCAGCGGCGGCTGCGGGCGTGGTGGAGCCGCGCGCCCCGGGAGTGGGGCTG